AAATGCGGCACCCTACCTCCAAAATAATTAAAGCAAAAAGGGTAATGATGTGGCTCAAGTGATAGAATACCTGCCTAGCAAGCACAAGGCCCTGAGTTCAAATCCCAGTATCACAAAAAAGAAAAAAAAATCAGGAGCAAGATAAAGATGGCCACTTGTGCCACTTATGCTTAACAATACTGGAAGCTATAGCTAGTGCAGTTAGGCAAGAAAATGAAAAAAAAAGTATACAAACAGGAAAGAAGTGAAATTGTCTGTTTGCTGATCAAAAACCCTAAAGACATTTAAGTGAAGTGGAAGTGTACAAAATCAATATACAAACATCAGTAGTTTTTTTATATAGTAACAGACTATTAAAACAAAACTAAGACAGTAATGCCATAATAGCACAGAAATGCAAAACAAAATATTTAGGAATAAACTTAACTAAGGAGGATCTATATACTGAAAAGTATAAAGCAATGATGAAAACATTAATGATGATACATGTGATATCCTATGTTTCTGGATTGGAACAATGAATTTTGGTAACATTATCCCAAGCAATGTACAGCTTCAATGTAATCGCTATCCAGATTACATTATCATTCTTCCCAAAAATAGAAAATATAATCCTAAAATTCATGTAGAAACACAAAAGATCCAAATAGCCAAAGAAATGTTGGGCAAAAAGAACAAAGCTGGAGTCATCACACTCCCTGATTATAAAATATATTATAAAGCTTAATCATCAAAACAGCGTGTTGCTGGTATAAAGATAGACACATTAACCAGTGGAATGGGATAAGATACACCAAAATAAATCCACACATTTATGGTAAACTGATTTTTTACAAAAGTGCTAAGAGTACATAATGGGGAAAGCATAGTCTGTTCATTACATGGTACTGGGGAAATTGATTAGGCACGTTCAGAAGAAGATGATCTTACATCATTTTATATTATCTATAAAGTTCAACTCAAGATGGATTCAAGACTTAAGCATGTGGCCTGAAACTGTAAAATTACTGGAAGGAAATATAAGGAGAAACCCAACCACATTGGTCTGGGCAATGGTTTCTTGGGTAGGTTCCCAAAAGCACAAGGCAACAAAAGCAAAAACAAAGAAATCGGACTAAATTAAACCAAAAAGCTTCTACTTAGCAAAGAAAACAATTAATAGAGTGAAGTGACAGCCTGTGGGTTAGGAGAAATATCTTCAAATTATACATCTGATAATGGCTAATAAACATAATGTTTAAGGAGTTCAAAACTCAGTAGCAACCGCTGAGCTGTGTGACTTATTGCACAACTGTCATTCCAGCTACATGGGAAGTATGAATAGGATCATGCTGTGGTTCAGACCAGCCCAGGCAAAAATCAAGAACCTATTCAAAAAATAGCAAAAGCAAACATGAGTGATAGATTGCCTACCTACCAAGGCCAAGGCCCTGAGTTCAAACCCCAGTAACTGCCAAAAAAGAAAGAAAGAAAGACAAAGGACCTTCCTGAACAGACATTTTTCATAGAAAATATATGCATTGCCCACAGATACTTGAAAATATGTTGAATTGTTTTCTATTGTGTTTTGAATACTTTCATTAAAACAAAAATCTCTTAAGGATTTTGTGTAATATTAGAATTAGTTTTTGTAAGAATTGGTACTAATGCTTTTGGAAGATTTTTAACTATTAATGGTGTGACTATTGACATCTCTCTTCTTAAATCTACTTCAAATGGTGATTTTATTAAACTTAAAAGCTGGCTTGGTCAACAGTATGTCCCTTTTCATTACTAGTATTACTTATTGTGTCTTTTCTTCCTTTTTTCAATGTGTGTGTGTGTGAATTCAGACCCCTGTGCTGGAAAAAAATTTTTGATTTTAACATGCCACATAGTGAAAAGAATACCTTAGATTTCATTAGCCAGCTTTAACCAAGGGAACTGATATTTCTTACCATCTTTCAGCTACAGCCACTATGTATCTCATTTATTAAGGCTGCAGTCTTGACTTTTATATTTACAGTGTTCCCTATTATCTAGTCAGAATAAATTGTTTGAAGTTGCAGATGAATAAGTGCCATTACACATTTTTGCCAAAGATCCGTAGCTAAAAGAGCCATTTTATCCTTTGAAGATTACGATGTGATCACAAGCATTTCTTAGAGGAAGAATTCAGCATGCACAAATTGAGTGCGTTAACATTGTATGAATGACCCATCTTTCCTTGAATAGTTTTAATAATGTCTGTTTTTATGTGTTATTTCCTCTGTGTTGCTTCATTTGGATTTTTCTTATTTCTTTTTGTTTTAAATTGTATAACTGCTTCTTTTTGTCATACCTTTGCTCAATTATGAAAGGAACAAGTTAAATTATTGAGGTTTTTTTTGTCACATCTATGCCAAATAAATTTAGTTTATTTAGTAAATTTAGTTTGTTTGGTGTTCCAGAACAACTCAGCCCTGATTTATGAGGACCTTCCTCATGATTCCCTGAGACTGAAGAAATAAAGGCAGACAGATCTGGGGTTACAGAAAGCCCAATTTATTAGGGGATTTACTGACAGAAGTGTGGTCCTGGGTGACAGCAAGATCTTTGGTATCCCCTCATTTGAGTCAAAGAGAATTGTGTGTTTTATGGGTTCACATAAGCATGATATCATCATAGCTGGTATATTTTGGTTTATTTTAAAATAATACTTAAGAGTCAGGCACATCCCTGGAGCCAAGGTTGGATTTTAAAGTGCTACATTTGAGTCTAATGGTTTTATCTTTTTATAGCTTCTGGGAAACTGTGCAGGGAACCCTAGCTAGGATTACTCAGGAGCCATCATTGGCAATTATGATTCAAAGTAGTCATGTCAGGCTGTATCCACACAGTAGGTAACTTGATATTCTGTGCTGGTACTAAGCAATTGCAGATGAGGACTGATAGAAATTACAGCTTTATCAACCTCCTTATATTTATGTCTCCATTAATAATTAAGATATACATAATTACAATTCACTGTGCAAAACATAGAGGTATGTTGAAAGTGCACAGACTATAGAAAAAAAGTACCTAAACATATGTGAGGATTTCTGTGGGCAGAGAGAGTTTGCAATAGAAGGTAACACTTGACCATTGAAAAAAGAGTGGGAGGTTTTCAGGTTGAGTAAGATGATAAAGAATATTCTAGTTTGTAATACCAGTAATATTAATAATATACATTCAGATTGACATTATTTTAAGTAACCATTTATTCAGCATTTACTCTAAATGAGGCATATTTTATTTGTATTTGTTTTAAGAGATATCTCTAGGGAGGACTGTCCCATTAAATCATTTTAGCAAAATTAAATTAATCATGGAAGACGAGTAACTTGATTAAGGTCTTACAGGTAGTGAATAGTACAAATAAAATTTAGGTCTTTGTTTGCACCACAGCACAGGCTTTCAATTTCTGTTCAGTACTGCCTTTCAATTTACTTGAGAGTATCATAACATTTGGAGAATTTAAAAAAGAGTATGGCACAGTGTTGGCAAACATTGGGTAATGCAGGGTAGGTCAATCAGTAAAGAAAGGATCAATAAACTCATACAAAGAAGTTTAGATTTTATTCTGTGGTGAGTAGCTCACTATTGTGATTAAAAAGGGAAGTGGCAAAAAATTTCAATTTTAGAAAGATTAATAACAACATGAATAATGGATTAGAAGAATCTAAGACTTAACACATTAGAGGAAGGAGACCAATATATTACTCTAGCTAAAACAGTACTTGATGTGAACCAGTAACAGTGGAAAAAGAGAAGGAAGACTGATTTATGAGATATAAGTATGAGAATTCATAGCATAAGAGCCTGCTAAACCCACACAAAATATATACCAATATGATGTTAAAGTCAAAAATTAAAATTTCTAGTCCTTTCTAAAATAGGCCTCAATTTTCAGTCACTTCCATCAAATGCTTTAACATGTATATTTTCAGGAATATCCTCTTGTATGTGGAGAGGTCTTTTTTGCCTTGTAACTGTGGATTTTTCTCACCAAACATGCTTTTACTACACCCATGAATCTGCTAACCTCTCTTGTATATTTACCATACAAAGAGAATATATCTTGGCAGTTCATTGATCTCAGGAGAATGTTAAGACACTGGAGGAGAGCTACCCCTGTCAAGTTCCTTCTATATCAGAAAATATGCCACTTAGCCAAATTGAGTACAGCCTGGAACAGATATTCTTCATTCCACATGTTTAAGAGAAATAAGCTAGGTTGTTTTAAGCTTCCAAATTTTAGGGTGGTAGAAATAGCTAACAGAAACAAATATGTCTGTTCTGAAAAAAAATTTTAAAGGGAGTTCAATTCTAGTATAATTTCTCATACTGTTTTTTGATTTTGAAACCCAAGATACATTTCTGTTGATGAAACAGGAAACAGCTAGAAAGGAAAAAGAAAAACTAATACTAAATTTTATGAGAGTTATTGAAATATATTTTACATACCATGAAATTGACCAATTTGAAGTATACAATCTAGTGATTTTTAGTATATTTACAATTTTGAGCAACTATTACTATTATCGCAAAATAAACTTTAGTTCCCAGTATAGTCACTTACCTTCCTTCCCTACCCTAAGTAACCATAAATCTACTTCCTATATAGATTTGCCTTTTATGAACTTATCATATTAATAAAGTGATTTGACATTTTCTTCTGTGTGTATGTGTGTCTGGCTTTTTTTATTTATCACATCTTTGAGGTGCTGCTTTGTTCAAACATGTAATGTTACTGGAAAGTTTAATGCTGATAAATTCCTTGGTTCTTCTGTCCAGCAGGAGAGGAATTTGAGCAAGATGAGAAGATGTAGTAAAAATACTAAAGTTTATTAGAAAAGAATTTATTATAGCAGAATAAAAGTTGAGAGAAATGAAAAATAGCAGAAACATTTCCTGCTCCCCATCAGGAAATGGGAGTAAAGATTCAAAATGGTGCCCCCATCTCTCAGTCTTATACTTTCAGTAGAGCTGGGGCAATACACATGATCGAAGAAAATGGATCTGGGTGGCTGAGATGGCTGTTAAAACAAGGAGATGTCATCCAGGCCTACTCCAATCACAGGGAAAAAAGGTATGATTTAGAACTTCCTTTTGCTAGACATATCTATTATTATTTATTAGGCCCTCCACTCATCCAAGGAGCCTTAGCGCTTGTTAACATCTCAAAGAAAGAAATGTGGATATTGAAAGCCCTGGGATGTAGACAGCCCTATTCTTAGAGAGGTTGGAAGTAGTTCTGGCATTTTAAGTTTTTACTTTTTAGTTTTAATGTCTGAGTCTTATCCTTTTTATATTTATTAAGATAATATAATTTTCCTGTCTCCTCATCTATTCTGCCTCACCCGTCACTCAGGGATAATTGCTACCTAACACATATCAGTACTTTTATTTTTAAATAGAACTTTATTGTGTGAGTATACTACATTTTGTTTATTCATCAGTTAATGTACAGTTGGGTTGTTTCCAATTTTTGATTATCAGTAATGATGCTGTGACCACTCATTTACATGTGTATGTATAGGCATTATGTTTTTATTTAGATAACTACTTATAGAATTTCTAGATCATATGATAACTCATTAATATTTTAAGGAACTTAAAAGCTGTCTTACAAAGTAACATTACCATTTTATATTCCTACTAGAAATTCATCAGGGAGAAGTAATTGTAACTTATTTTATGTATTCAGTTTGTTCTCTTAGAATCTTTGCTAAAATAATGTAAAATGATAGTAGCCACATATAGAAGATAGTAATTGAAATAAATTTTTCTTGGTTCTAAAACATGGTCAGCAAACAGCATCATTTATATTTAAACTTTGTGTTTTCTATTTGTAATTCATAAATCTTTCTTTCCTGTTTTTTCTATTGATTTTGAATATTTTCTTAAGTAAAGTCTAGTCTTGTATATCTCTATTTTGTTGTTGGTATGAATGTACAGAAATAAATGGCTTGAAAAATCAAGGAATATATTTACAAAATGGTTAAATTACAGGCTCTGTTTCCGTAATTATGTTGAACCTTACTTCCTCCTGTTGGAATAGCTTTGACCTAGGAATTGGGTCTTAGGTTTAAAATCAAAACATTTATTTTTTTCCAGCCTATTCCTTGCCAGGTTGCCAGGGCTTCTGTCAGACAACCCTTCTTTATACTGCTGATCCTCCTGTGTTCCAATTACTGTGGTTCTCCCCACCCCCTTGCCTCTTAAGTCTTAGATTTACAAGCTCACTTTTCCTTACTTTATAGCTACTATCCTATTTGGTGGTTTCTCTAACCACCCTTAGTGCCTTTGAATGTGCCATCTGCTACATTCAGTTTTCAAAATTATTTTGGTCTTTAAGCGATAAGTTGTATGAGAATATAAGTCAGAATGTTCTCTGCCCTCAATTATTGCAAAAAATACAAAAGATGAATAATAGTAATAATAATATCAAGTAATAGTACCAAGTAATAGTTGATGAACCTGACATAGATTAGCTCATATAGTTGATCATATAAGATAGTTTTTTTCTTTTTTAATCATTTTATGGATGAGAAGACTAAAGCAAGAGGGATTAAGAAAACTTTCCAAAGCAGGAAACTCTTAAGTTGAATGATTAAGATTCTAACACAGACAGTCTTATTATGCATTCTGTGCTCTTAATTTCTACACAATATCATAATATGACCAAAAATAAATCCAGAGACGTGGTACAAATTTGAAATAGGTCTAAAAGCTTAAGGATGAAGTGGACTGAGACCTCTAAAACAGTGAAGGAAAAGTGTAGAGATCTGCTTTTTTTGCTGTAACTTCCAGAGGAATTAATAAATCTATTGTGTAGGAGTAATAGCATAAATTTAAACTATAAGACTATCAGAATTACTTACTGTATAGTGTTAATACCCCAAATTTAAAGCATAATAAAGAAAATAGTTACTTGACTTCTTAACTCTTTGGTCCTCCTGTGAGTACAAATGTCATTTTAAAAGAATAAGACAGTCATAGTTAAGAGTTTAATTTAAATGGAAAGAAAATTTAGATGTGTTAATTAAGTTAAAAACTTTATTAATGTAAGTTACCATATATATAAAAATACTAAAAACATACTGTGATATAAGAAATACTGGTAATAATCTATTGGTTGTCTTCAACAAATCTTGAAGCACAGGAAGGTAAACCTTGATTGAATACCTCCTTTACTTTGTTAAAAGCAGTATAATATGAAATGCACCATGTTTTATACCTTTAAGAAGCTCATAGTCTTAGCTACTCTAATATACTTTATAAGTTTCAAAGGGGCAATATTAAAAGTGATAGGTATAAATTTCTTATATTGAACTTACTATCAAAAAATAAATCTAGGATTGACAAAATAATCAATTATCTTTTGAGAATTTGTAAATTATTTTTATTTTTTTATGTCATATTATACTGGGGGTACATTGTGATGTTCACAAAATTTCTTACAGTACATCATAGTTAAATTCACCCCCTGCATCATTCTTCTTTATCCCCTCCCCCATTCCTGGAATAGTTTCAACAGGTCTCATTTTTCCATTTTCATACATGAGTACATAGTATTTCCACCACATTTACCCTCCTACACCCTTTCCTTATATCTTCCCCACTCCAACAGGTACCAACCCCCAGACTGGACCTGTTTATCTTCCTGTTCTCTATTTGTGTAAAAAGACAATTTTCTTTGTTTAAGATAGCTATATAAGAGGTTTCATTGTGACATTTGCATGCATATTTTTCTCCTTTCTATTTTAGTCCCCTTCATATGGTGATTTCAACAGGTTTAAAAATTCTATATTCATTCTTGTATAGAAAGTACATCAACCTTATTCATCTTCTGGTTTCAGTATTATATGAGTGGATGAGAATAAACTTATGAGAAAAAAATCCCATTTTCGTCCTACTCTCCCCTCATCATCCTCTTTAGCATTCGCTTCTTATTTCTTCCTCCTCAAAAGAAAACAAACAAACAAAAAAAAACCAAATGTGTTACTCAGCTTCCATTACTGTAACAATATACCTGAAATAATAAACTTATATAGAGGAAACAGTTACTTTGGCTCACAGTTTTGCAGGTTCTAGTCCATGATTGGTTGGCTATGTTGCTTTGAATTCTCTACTTGGGGATGGTGAGTAGGAAGGGGAGTACATTTACTGTGGTAGCACATGGCAGTCTAAAAACCACTTACCTTATTGCTGGGAAGCAAGAGGGATTGATCTCAATGACCTAAAGAACTCCCAGTAGGTCCTACCTCTTCGAGGATCTTCCCCATATCAATAGTGCCACACTAGGGCTAAGGATTTAGCACTTGGACCTTTGGGGGACATTTAAGATCTAAACTCTCGTATCAAATGAAGGATAATAGATATTTCTCTTGGTTATTGGGGTTAGTGTAATTATGTGATTACAAAGTGCTAGGCAAGAATTTTCCTGTATTAGGATTGTTTTATGTACTTGAGTAGTAGATAGTGGATGTTTGTCACAGTTTTTTGTTATTTTTGTTTTTTTCATATTTCTAGATGTTTTATTCTTTTTCTTTTTTTTTGAAATTCATGTCCAAAAAAAACTGTTGGCTCATTTATTTAATTACCTTTTTATAAATAAGAAAAATATGTTTAAAATTAGTATATTACAGTTTTCTCATTAGTCACATAATAGTGAATTGGACTTACTCTGATAATGGATATTTAAATTTAATTTTTGAGTGAATATTATTGCATTTATTGGATATTATTACATAACTATGTGTTTCACTAAAGCATGATTTATGTCACTAACTTGACAAATTATTAAACAATTTAGTTAGTCATTACTTACCTAACTTCAAACTTAAAATAGTATGCTCTGTGCACTTCCAAATTCTTCAACTTAATTAACAGTGCTAAATCTGTTACTGGGATACTTAATTGTCTTCAATTTGAAAATGACTACTTTTTTTCTATCATATAAGGGGATAGTTGGTTAATTGAGTATCTTCTTTAAATATTAATAATTGTTTTGATGGTCCTAGCTATTTTTTTTGGCTGCCAATGACAGTGTTTTATTTTATTTTAATTTTTGTTCATTTATTCACATGTGCATACACTGTTTGGGTCATTTCTTCACGATGCCTCCCTCCCCCACCTGAGACCAGGAATAAGAATGTAATAGGAACAACAACAACAACAAAAATCAAATCTGTAGTTTGTTTTGCCATAGTTGAAAGAAGATAACACCATTGTCTCATTTTTTTCTCCAGATATATGAATAAGTGACATCCTTGATACTAGCTATCAACACCAATGTCTAATAAGGAGCAACATTTTAAAATTAAAAATAGATTAATACTCACAGTGCTTCTGCTATATTAAAGATCGAAAGTGGTTAAAAATATTTAATAATGATTTTTAGGTTGAACATAACTTTGAGACTATAAAGTTAATTCTATTGCCAAAAGATTAACAGATTTAAATACAAGATTTCTGATTAATTTAAACTAACAAAGGACAAAAGTTAACTAAACCAAAAATAATAAGTAATATTTATAAGTAATAAATAATAAGAGTTCTGGAAAAACATAAGAAGTTAATATAAAGAGTTTACCTGGAGGTATGGCTCAAGTGATAGAAAGCCTGTCTAGCAAGCAGTGAGTCCCTGAGTTCAAAACCTCGGACCCACCAAAAAAAAAAAAAAAAGAAAGAAAAGAAAAATGAGACAATATAAAACAAATTCTTACAAATGTGGAAAATAATACCTTTATTTTATAGTTATTTGATATTTTCAAAGTAGTTCAACATCTATCCCAGAAGTAACAAGGAAAATGGACTTCAAAAACAGTAAAAAATATATACAGTGTCATCAATAATACATAAGAAGACTAATTTTAATGTCAGAATCTAAGAGGTTAAAATATTAATATAGTCCTAAAATCTGTAATTCTAGTATGTGGGACTGGGGTGTGAACTCAGGGATTTGTGCTTGCAAAGCAGGTTCTCTATCACTTGAGGCACATATCCAGTCCATTTTGCTCTAGATATTGTTGGAGATGAGGTTTTGTGAACTGTGATACTCCCAATCACAGCCTTGCAAGTATC